TGCTTTCAACAATAAAGATAAATTTTAAAAAATAATAATAATAAAAATAAATTAATTAAATGAGACATAGAGAACAGGTATGAGAGACAGAGGAAAGGTTGGCCTCCTACCATCAAAAAACCCCTAAATCAATGCAATGATCAGGCAGAAAATTCACAGTCATACATAAACTGAGAGAGTTCTCTACCTCGGGGCTTTAACTATAGATTCAGCACAGTCCACATCAATATCCCAGAAAGCTTTCCTGTAAATATGAACAAAATGATTCTAAAATTTACATGCAAAGAGAGTGGTAATAGAACAGCTAAAACAGATCTGGAAAAAAAACACAAGCCATTTCTTTATATTAGTTATTTATATCACATATGAATCTAACCACCTGTGCACATATATTATTCTAAATATGAGTATATGCTGATGTCTCCAACTCTGATTGAGCACCATATGCCCAGTTTAGCCTTCTCCCCTTGCTCATGTAACTTTCCTACCCACAGTGAAAGACCTGGGTCCCACAACTTGCTGTCCTTTACTTAGTTGCTCAGCTGTAGTGGGCACACACAGCAATTTCAAAATTGTTGGCTCATCCCCCCAGCGAGAAACACCTTTACTGACAAGAGTACTCTGACTGCACATGGTTCCTTTCCTTAACTTAGCCTTAGAGACTACAGTCTGAACACTGCTTTCAAAGCTACAAGGGTCACTTCCTTTTTCCCCACCCCTCCGTGAGGTCATGTCATACATTTATAATGTTGGGAAGGCAGTCTTATGTGCCTACTCTTCTGTCACCTGCCTGGCCACACAAGAATGGACAAGAGTGGTGTGACAGAAACCGAGGCTAGGGTGGAACAATCTGGAAACTGAGATGTCCAAGTTAGGGAGCTCAGTGTAGAGCTAGAAGGCAGCTTGGTAAACTTGGTCCTTGTGAGGGAGGGGAGGGGACAGGAACACAGAATGTAGCTGAGAGAGGGAGATGAAATGAGCCATGTCAGAGTTGAACAATGTGAGAAATTCTGGGAAGAGGGACCAGAGGCTGCCTCGTTTTCCACCCTCTGAGCAACCTCCTTCAGCCCAGGCGAAAGGACACAGCAAGGCCAGCTGTCTCTTGCTACTTTAGCTCTGAGAACACAGGCCTATCGCCCTCCCACATTTGCGGCTGGCATGATGGTGTAAGTGATGCCTGGTAAGAAAATGTGTCTTCCCAAGACCTTCTCTCTACAGCCTGAAAAAGCCCACCAATTAGTGTCTGTATGACTGTCCAGCCCTGAGGTCAGTAAGGGGTCAGGGTTTGGGAGTGAGTTCACTTTCACTACTGCCAGTCAAGAAAATCTACAGGGAGGTTCTGTCCCTATTGGACCTTGGGGCAGAAACCTCAAGAAATGGTTGAGGCCTGAGGCTGGGCTTGGGAGCTTCAGGCAGTGAGATGGTGAAAGCACAGAACAAGGCAGGGGAAGATGACCGCAGCATCTAGAATCAAACTCAGGTCAGCTGGCAGGAAATGAAGTTTCCTTTTCCTTGCTTTTCCCACTCAAAGATCTGAGTGTTCTTAAAAAAAAAATCACACATATTTTGTATATTTACATTTGTCATATTTATATTATAAGACATATATATAACTACAGAAGGGTGTATAAATGTATCATTGCACTTACAAGTTAATAAAGTGAATGCACGTGTAGGAACCACCCAGTTACAAAATGGAGCCCTGTCAGCATCTTAAAATTCCCCTGTAGATGACATGAACTATTAGGCAGTGAAAATGATCATTTCAGGTATTTCAGATTCTTCAGGTCCATGACAGTGAGTCCATGGTTGTCCTTAGGACAGAGCTAACCCTTGAGGAGCTGACAGCAGTGTTTCATGACATCTCAAAAGGCCTCTATGACTTTGTCATTCCGGAGGGTGAAGATGAAAGGGCTCAGGAAAGGGGTCACCACAGAGATCAGCAGGGAAACTATCTTGTTGTACTCGGCCGCCTGCGTCTGATTGGGCTTCACGTAGAGGAAGAGGCAGGTGCCATAGCCCAGCACCACAAAGGTGAAGTGGGAGGCACACGTGGAGAAGGCTTTCCTCCGGCCAGAGGCCGAGGGGATCTTGAGGATGGTGGAGATGATGCAGGTGTAAGAGACAACTGTGGGGATCAGAGAACCGACGATAATGAAAACGGCCATTAAAAAAAGAATAAACTCCGTGAAAAGGCTGTCATCACAGGCTAGTTTGAGCAGCTGCCCTCGGTCACAATAAAAATGGTCTATCAGGTTTGATTTGCAGAAGGTGAGCTGAAACGTGGCATAGACCGGCCAGATTTCAGAAAGGAACCCAAACAGCCACGACACAACTACCACCCAGAGGCAGGTGTGGCTGTTCATAATGACGTGGTACCTCAGCGGGTGACAGACAGCCACGTAACGGTCCACGGCCATCGCTCCCAGCAATGCAAACTCTGTGGTCCCCACAGCAAGGTACAGGAAGAGCTGGGCGACACATCCAGCCAGAGATATTCTCTGCACCCCAGGGAGCAGCAAGCCCCAGAGCATGACAGGGATGATGATGGATGTGGTCAGGATCTCTAGGAGAGAGAAGTGACCGAGGAAGAAATACATGGGGGCCCGCAGGCGTTTATCAACACAGACAGTCAGGATGATGACGGTGTTACCCATTAATGTCACCAAGTAGAGGAAGACGAAGGTAGCAAACAGGAGATGGTGAATTTCTTTGGAGCCATAGAAACCAAGGAGGTAAAATTCAACGGCACTGGAGTAATTCTGCAACATTTAGTCCTGTGCTCTTGCGCCTTGTGAAATCTGGAGAGCAGAAGAGAGAAAACACGTTTATAATGTCAAAGGACTACAGATATTTCCAGGTTGAGAAAGCAGCCCCTCCGCTCTTAAGCGCCATGTCATGATCAAGTGGGTCCATCTTCCACTACTCTCCGTATAAGATTGATGTTCAATGTTTTATGAAGAAATATATAATATATAAGGGCAGATGTGTGTGTCCAAGAAGATGAGCGACGGTCACCAATACCGCACCCCGGGCCTGAGGACCCAGCCACCCCATTATGAACCCATCTCTCTCAATTCACTGGACACCTTGCCTCCAACTCTGCTCTCACCTGCCACCCTGTCTACCTCCCTGACCATAGGTGCTCGCTGTCACCACCACCCCTCCCATCCTGAACGCCTCGACTCACCCTTCTGCGCCTGTCATGTCCATGCCCTGCCGCGCTGCTGCAGCTCAGCAATGACAGGGAAGTGCTCCTAGCCATCCCCCCCAGGCTTGATTACTTCCCTGTGTTTCCTCTAAATGTGGACTCCATTTGCCTTACGTTCACTTAACGTTTTCACTTCACTCATCTTTATCATCATTTCAGCCTGTTGGGAGGCCTGGCTGGCAGGGAGGTGGGGTCTACTCGGGACGTTGTCCTAAGTTGAGACAGAGTGTTGAGTCTTTCCCTGACTTCTGGGGAGCTGACTCCCTGGAGTGGATTATCCCCTCCCTTCTCCTTGTTCTTATGATAAAAAGTCACCCACCACCTCTCACTTCAGTGAATGTTCCTCCTCCAAGTAGAAGAGCTTCACCAGCTCCTAGTCAGTGACATCTAGCCCTGAGATTATGATCCCTTTTGCCACCAGATGACAGACAGAGTAGGGGGCCTGAGGATCCAAGAGGAGGCTGGGACTTTGATCCCCAACTCCCATCTGTCCCGCATGGTCTCCACCCTGGGGCCAGGAGACAAGGAAACAGCTATGGTTTAGAGGCAGCACCCTGTGACTTCACCTGGTCTCGAATCTCTGGTTCGGGCAAGGGGACAAGGCATCCAAACGGGCAGCCTGTCCTGATCACCAACCAGCCACAGTCTGAGTCCCACAGAGAAGCTTGGAAAAGGCCCCAGAGAGCATCTGCTTGTCCATTTTCTTCAAAGTCCTACAAATAAGGGAAAGTGTTGGAAAACACCAAAGTAGATCACACTGATGTCCTTAGGGTCTCTGGGCTCCTTCCCTCGCCACGCGCAGGCCCCTGATCCAGCATCTCCAGCCCACAGGCGCTTCCCCAGGCAGCCTCTCTAAGCCAGCGGGTGCACTGGCTCGCACCCCAGCCTCGCACGGGGCCGTCCTGTCCACTCACCAGCTCTCGTCCACCGCTGGAATTGAAGTACCTCAAGGGAGTTCCTGTGTCTTTATCATTCACTGTCCCACCTCCAGGGCCAAGAACAGAGCATGTATTCTTTTAATGTTTAGTCGATAAATCAATGGACGAATGACAAACAAGCCAGTGGATGAGCAAAGAGTCTCCATCCTGACCTGCTGTCTCTCCTGTTAGAAGAGAGGACTCTTCTTTCACTCCTCACTAAGGCGCTGTCTGGTTAATCGGTGATCTCTCTGCCTGCAGATCCCCGATTAAATGGCAAGCACACATGCGGAGGAGATGGGGAGGGGTGACAGAGCAGGGTACTGAGTGGTGGCAGAGCCGTGCTGGTCACCAGCACTGAGAAGAGCAGGGCCGGCTCTCTGCCGTGGAGAAAGAACCTGGAGTAGAGCCACCCACTCTGCAGCTCCCCAGTCCACCCTTCATGCTCCAGGTGTCCTCGTGCTAGACGACAGCAAGGCCCAGAACTGCCCATCCTGAGCCTCTCCCACCCTGCCCTTCTCAGAGGGGAATCCCTGGAAGACACTCACCTCCCGAGAAGGGGACTGGACCCGAAAGGTCCACGGCTCTCCAGGGATCAGCCCAGGCCCCCTCTTGCCTGACTGGCGCTGAGCACGGTCTGCGGGCCAGAGCAAGCCGCTGCCGCCTGTCTCGGTGACGGTGACGGAGGAAACTGCTCTCCAGGCGCTCGGGGAGAAGCCCAGCGGCAACAGTGCTGTGGGAAGCCCAGGCGGCTCCCTCTGTCTCGCTCCCTCCTCTTTTCCGTCTCTCTGTCCCCGAGGAGAGTCTCTCACTGAGGAATTAAGTTTGTGAAGTTGAGAGAAACCCTAGGGATGCAGTCAAGGGAAAGCCAGAGAACTTGCACTCCTCCCTCCCCAGGATAATCAAGTTTTAGAACAAGGAGAAGTTTTGTGTGATGGGCAAACTTGATGCCTCCCAGCCAGGAGTTTCTCGGCTGCCTTCCTCACGGACCCCAAATCCTGGTTACCCCCAAACAGTCCAGGCTGCACTGGGCTGCCCCCTGCGCTCTCTCTGCAGTGACTCTCTGATTCCAATTAGCCCTGCAGAGCCCACTCGAGCCTCAAGCAGAAGACACCACAGTGGCTCCAAGACACACATCCAACACCCAGTGGCCACCAAGTAACCTCTGTCAAAAAGTTTTCATCTCATTTCTCCCAGAAAAGCTCTGCACTCCTCCACCTGATACACTCCGACCATAGTTATGGGAACCTGGTAAGAGAAACAGAGAGGATCCGCCACACAAACCAACCTCTCGATCTGCTGAGGCCCCTGCCCGTTCCCTTCCGTCCAACACGCACACATTCCAACTGCGGCTGTTCAGCCGTATTTTCCCATCCAGGTCTTCAAACGCTCAGGGTCCCTTCCTGAGCTGCTGGAAGTGAGAGGTAAAGGCTGAAGAACCAACATACAGAACTGACCAAAACAACAGTATATAAAAGTGAGGGTGGCTGGGGTGCTAGATAAAATAGCTAAATGACATTTAAAATATTTATATTTTTTAAAACTTCCATTTAACATAAAATTAGCACAACTCAGGGTAAAAAATAAAATTTTATAGAGAATATAAAACAAAATGCAAGTGTCCCTCTCACTGATGCCTGATTCTCCTGACCCATCTCGGACAGGCAAACACTATTATGACTTCTGTTGTGTCCATACAGCAGTTTCCTATGCAGACACAAGCATATCGCTGTATAATCTTTACTTGCGATTTTAGCAGACATATCATCCTGCTACTTTCTCTTTTTATATGTATATGTGTGTGCTCATTAAACCTTTCCATATGTGCACCCATATATCTCTCCTTTCAATTGCTAAATATTCACCTTATGAAAAGTCCATCATTTACTTAATGAGCAACCTGCTGATAAACATTGTTTTTCCATTTTTTCACAGTATAAATGATGCTGCAATAAATACTTTCACACATAGGCCTGTGCATTGGGACAGTTACATCTTCTTATTAAATTTATTCACTGCTATCAAATCAGTCTCCGAAAAGTTGCATGAATTTATAATCTCTTGCAATGAGATTATGTCAGATGGCACGCACCTTCTCTCAGCCTCTACTAATACATCAGGGCACAAAAATCACTCAGAATTTCCCCTTGAGAGACTCTTCCCTGCAACTCTCCCGGCTTCTGAATCACGGCCCTCCCCCCGTCGCAAACCAAGCACAGGACACTTTCATTCCTGCTCTCCTCTCCCAAAGTGATGAAGTTCTTGACTCCTGGGTTTGGGAATTGGTTTAGGATAAACAAATAACCCCATCATCCCCAGAATCCCACAGGAGCAACTCTGTCTCGGATTTAGGTTAATATAAAATAAATTTTATTATGGAGCCATTAGGCAGATATTTTCTTAACCTTGGGCCTGAAGGACCCTGCTAAAGGAATATTTTATGATTTGCCATTACTTCTGGTGACTGTTCTTCCAGATCTTATTGCTGAAGAGACAGTCTAAGACTTAGAGCCTCAGAAAGCTTAGCTTAAGCTTTGCATTAACTTGTCGGGTAAGCTAAACCAAATAATTCCGCTTCCAAAATCTCTCACTCCAATGGGAAGAAAGGGGGCCTTGAAACTAAGGAGGAAATCTGTCCTGGTGAGACTGACCCTTAGATTCTTGGTCCCCTTGCATTCTCTCTTGATTCATCAGATACCAGGGGGCACATAATGTCATGCGAGGAAGGCTAGGAGGGTAATTGCATGTGAGGCAAATGTGAACTGGACGTGCCAGCTTGCTAGGCGGAGTCCTTGGGTTCGTTTCACAGCGCTCCCTGCGCCTCCAAAGGTCAGAATGGCTTCAACTCCCCCCCTGGGCGAGTGAGCGTAGGGGGGCCTGGGTGAGTGGTCAGCAGGAATCCGGTTTGGTGGCTCCTGCGCTTCCCCTAGTCCTCCTTCCCCTGCCTGCTGACTCTTCAAGGAACTAAGCAGTATAAAGTGTCCACTATGTTCCTGAAATTGAGAATACACTTGATGTTGAATATGGACATTTTCTGACATAACAAGAATACCATTATCACGCATGAGAAATTTAGCATTTCTTCAGTAATATAAAATGCACAGTCCATATTAAAATTTTCTAAATGTTTCCCAAATACCTTTACAGCTTTTATAAAACTCAAAGATCCTATCAAGTTTCAAGTATTGCATTTGTTTTTTTTAGAATTTTTTTTAACTGATCACATTTCCTCTGATCATTTTTAGCCTTTTATTTTTTATTTTTTATATGTCATTTTCTTTTTAAAATTTTCAATTACAATTGACATGTAATATTATGTTAGCTCCAGGTGTACAACATAGTGATTACATATTATATACCTTATGAAGTGATCACCCTGAGAAGTCTCAGATTCATCTGACACCATAAATAATTATTACAATATTATTGACTATATTTCCTATGCAGTACTTTACATCTCCAATGTGTCCCCAAGGAGAGTTATACACTGAGAAACCCTAGGGATGCAGTCAAGGGAAAGGCAGAGAAACTTTCAGCCCTTCTCTCCTGAGGCTAATCAAATTGTTGAACTCTTTAAAGTTTTTTATGGGAAAAGTTGATATCTCCCTTATAGGGAGTTTCTTAACACCCAAGCTGCCTTCTTCCTGGGCCCCAAATCCTCGTTACCACAAAGCAGTTCAAATCAGCTTCTCTTCTGTGTATCTACCGTATCTCCCTTAGCCTTACAGAGCCTAAGATCCCCCCAAGCAGAAGATACCACAATTAATTCCAAATTATATATCAAAAGCTCACAGGCACATGACATGAGTAAAACGGGGGAGTGGGCAATAGTTCCACAGAAACATCAGAAAACCAGCAGAAGCTGTCAGAACTCACTTTGTCAGAACTTTGGAAAACATTCAAAAAGTTAAAGCAACCAAGGAAACACTGACTCAAGAAAAAGGCAACTTCGAAATGTTAGCAAAGCTTTGTGGTGATCGTACATCCCTTGCCCACTCTCTCCCCGGCTTGGCAGGAGTCTTGAAAACAGCAACCTGCCTTCCCGGGGGGACCCGGGTTCCCGGTTCTGGAGGCAGCAGAGGGACCTTATGCAAAGCATTGTGCACGTCTGTTCTTACCTGCCTGGGGCTCATGAAGGATTCATACAGGATGCTGATCTTTGTTTAATCTAATAATGGACTTCATTCAGGGTGGAAAGAGATTAGCATTGCCCAAGTGGTTTTTTGCTTACTAAAAAGTTGCAGCCACCTTGGGCAAAAGAATATTGTTGAAAATACAACAGACTGTCTAAAGCCTTCGGCAGGCAAGTTGGAGAATATTCCTAGTTGGGAAACTAGGAGATTTAAAAGCATATGCATGTACTGGGGAATTTTAAAAATCCATATAGATGCACCGGGCAAGGTGCACACTCAGAAAAAAGCTAAGAAGACACCAACCTTTTGCTTTAAGTAGGATAAACTCAAAGAGATCCACACCAAGGCACAGTACAGTCAGTCAAAAGAGAAAGACAGTGAGAGAATCCTAAAATCAGCAAGACAGAAGCACTTTGTCACTTATAAGGAATCCTCATAAGATTAACAGCCAATTTTTTATCAAAAATTATGTAGGACACTTAAGGCAGTAAGGTAGCATATTTAAAGGGTTGAAAGGAAAAAACTGTCATTGCCCGGCCGGGCGTAGCTCAGCAGTTAAGCGTCGACCTAGGATCCAGGCGATCGGGGTTCGATTCCCGGTCAGGGCACATGCCCGGGTTGCGGGCTGCAGCCGATCAATGACTCTCTCATCATTGATGTTTCTCTCTCTCTCTCTCCCTCTCCTCTCCTCTCTCTGAAATCAATAAAGATATATTAAAAAAAAAAAAAAA